TCTCAATGGTTACCTCCATAAATAAAAACGTTTACACTGTTTTCGTGTTTGGTTGCCTGGCTACTTATCAAAGTTTACAGAATCCTTGTTTGGGTTTTGGCTAAATCACAGGACCAACCACTTATTTCCCTCTATGGATCAGTTAAGAGGGAGACACCGGAATGTATAATTTAAAGTGAAACAAGCTTCTCCATTTTCCGTTATGCTTTTCACTTTAAACCCTCAGCTATTTTTTAAGGAAAAGGGAAAAAACATTTTGTTTGGCAGCTGCTGCTCATCCAAATGAGGTCTACACTATGTGAGAATTGTTTGTTGTGCTTGTTCTGCCACGCTGCAAGGTGAAAAATTCAGTTTGAGAAAACAAAACTCTATAATCGTCAATTTATAATTATAAATAGCAAACCAAAGAGAATTGGAATATAGCCTACTTCCATTTAAGAAGTTGGAACAAGCAGAATGTCATTTTTGATGGAAAGAATCACTTACAGAGACCGTTCAATTATCAAGAAAGTCAATGGATTCATCAATTAATTCAATTCTTTGACATCCAATTAGACTTCACAAAATATCAAAGTGGAAACGCATCACGTAAATCAGATGAACTGAATCAACTCCCACAGGAATGCAACAGTCCTTAATATAAACTTTCCCTAAAAGACGATGCTTTCACAAAACAATGCCATGAATCACCTCAATACCAAACATACTGTGTTATTTGGGCCATTTGTCCAACCTGAAAAATGTCCTGCTATCAAAAACTCTCCCAGCATGCAATGCAGTCCAGTAGATTTAACGGGTAGATGGTTTGCATTCGTCTTTAATACTTTAAACGTGGTTCGCCTAAAGAATTATTCATATGTTCCTCTCTCGTCATGTCTTTTCTAGGTGTTTTTCTTTTGTGTGCCTGTATGGCAATGGCAACTTTGGTTGTGTTTCATTGTGTCCTATTAGTGTTTTACACAATGTTGTTGTGTGATTCATTGGTGCGCTCTGTCTATATGTCGTCCTTTAAGGCAAAGTGTACTTGTGATGAATGGCAACGGAGTGATTAACATTCTTCAAACCGGGTGAGGAACCTAAATTATAAACAAAATGTCATATGCTTTGATAAATAAAACATGTGTACAGCTGTGTTGGATCACAAAACACTGGGACCCGTAGAGACGATGCTATGACATTTGAAACAATACTCTTACTAAAAGCAAAAGGCGAAAAGGCAAAATTAAAAATGAGGTTTAAAAATCATGCAGTAAGAGCTGATTAACGTTTAAGCTGTGCATCCCCAAAAAGTGGGACACGTTGCAGCACAAATGGAAGCCGTTGCTGCGGGCAGAAAAGTGCCTTCAGGGTGCTTTCAGTGTCACACATTATCAGCCGGCTCGCATGAAGCCTGGGAAGTCAAACTGTGTGATGCCAATTTGGAGGCGTGTCAGCTGGTGTGATGAATGTCAGGTGAATGACGACGCCAGGAAGGGAACGGCAGAGAAAAATGGTTGTTTGGTGCCACCGGTGTATTCTCTGTCATTTCATGTTCTGGTTTTGTTGATGTGTAAATGTGGGCAACGTGGGGCGACAATCACATCCAGAGTCTTTGGTCCGTCATATCTGAAGCATTCAGGGTTTTCATGCGTTCTGTTCTTTGGTCACTGTGGCTCTAAAATGTTGTGTTCTCACAATGAGATGTGAGGTTGATTTGGCAGCTGTGTCTTTAATATATTTGGACAATTCTTTCAATCTAACATGCGATTTGTATCTTTCAATATCGAACTCTTTGTTTCAGGGTTACACACCTATTGGCGACCGTCGAACGTGTTAACGGTAATTCTAAAAGAAAATGTTCATGCCGAAGCTTTTGAACAGCGCCGTGGTGACATGGACACAAGCAATGCGTCGCCCTGCGAAGGCCACCTGCCGTCCCGCGCTCATCTGTGGAGCGCTGCCGTGTGACAGATCCATGGCCCGACGCCCAGAACTCTGCTGCCCCGTCCCGGGACTCCACCTGTCCGTCCCAGCCTGCCCGGGCTGTAACCTCTACAGACCCTTCCCAAAGTCTGCACAGCTGTGTGTGTGTGTGAGACATCGGACCACTTTCTAACATGACTCCATCTCACCGTGGGGGGGAAGGCGCACAAACAGCGTTGCACTGTTGCACTACTACTACTAAGGCATTTCCCACTTCACGTATTTTAAGCACATGTGTAACGTCGTTCTCATTCCCAACCCGTTACAAATACCTGCTGCGGTTTTGGGTAAAGTAGGGATGTCTATTACTTTAACAAGACAAAGGTTAACATGAACGGTCCCGTACTTGTGCGAACCCCCCCCCATCCGCGCCGAAGTCCTTCTGATGCAGACTTAACCCTACTGCCTCGGCGTGAAAAGAATGTGTAGCGATAACACCCGAACTGACTTAACGAAACGTGTTACCCTCGCACCATTTGGTGAGATCAGGCTGCACAGCGGCATCGCGTTCGCTCTTGTTGACGTTCAAGTTATGTAACTTGTGGCACACTTCTGATCCATCTGTGACTACAGTAAAGTGCATTCTCGGGTGGATACTTCCGACCGCTGTCGCCTCAATGCCAGCTTTGTTTACAGAGTATTTTTGTGGAATTAAGTTTTTTTTTCCCTCCTTTGATTGTGTCACCTTCGCCAAAGACGGAAAACGTGTGAGTGCACGTCTGAAAAGAGTGCTGAGCGGATGCATCTGGATGTTAATGTAGGACGTGTTACAGAAAGATGCAACACATTTCTCACCTGCTTCAGCAGCACAGAATACACCTTATTATAATTCGAACATGCACTTTTATTCAGGACCACCAGATAGAAATGTGTGATCACGCGAGTGGACTCTCACATACACTCACAATTATTTAATCATGAATGACACACCGTTTCTTTTGGTAAACATGTGAAGTGTTTAGCCTCGTGCTGGGAGAAGATAATTTAGTGAACAACCTCGCACATCTCTAGTTCTTTGCACCGTGACACACCAGACACAATGACTGAAAATCCTCTGGCCGAACATGCTTGTTGGGTCATTGCGAGCTGCAGCCTTGTTAGCCTGCACTGCATCGCCAGCCGGTAGCAGACGGACCAGCATGAACGTCGTGAGGTGAGATGTGGCACCTCACGGAGTGATTACTGGTTTTACTCCAAAGACATATCACAGCACCACTCACCTTGATTTATCTGTTATTTTGGCTTTTAAACAAGAGCGGGACTCTGCATTTAGGGACATGGAATCACTCTGCGGGTATCGAGTCTGTCAATGCAGCACCGGGGGGGAGCTGCCTACCCGATGGATCATGGTTAGGGGTCGAGCTGAATGATTCACGGGCCCCGAGCTCGCGTGACAAATATCATTTATTCATTCAGGGTTGGCCCGCATTCATTTAACAATTAGGATTGTGGACCAGAATTTAGGGTTTTTAAATTGAGAAACTTTGTTCTAATCAACATTACGTTATATTGTTTACATTTTCGATTGTTTAACTGATTATTTGTGTGATAATGCTCAAAAAATGCATTTAGGATGTAACTGTTCAGGTCAAAAGGTGAAGAATAAAGTATAAACTGTAACTCAGATGTAACAGGAATATTACATATTACATTTGCAGCTTTGTATCCACGTGAGCTTAGTTTGGCTGAATATAAAACCAAAAATCCCTGCACGATATAGCCATGAAGCACAAGGCTATCCCAAGTTTACCACAGCATGAAGAGGTCCGTTAAATTTACTGACCAAAAACTAAAACAAACATAGGAGCAGGTTGTCTCTTAATGGATGACATCATTTAACGGGCCTGATTACTAAATGGAAACACATCATTGACATTCAAGTAAAACGCGATACACAGCTGAGCCTTCATTTAAACAACAGAAGGGGATATAAAACATTTCACCTTCACAGTGCTGTTTGCTTCACAGTCTGGACGCAGATCAACAGCTTGTCAGACTGTGCATTAGTGAGGAAATGAGCGGAAACAATGAAACAAGCAGCCAGTGAGCCTGCAGTCAGTCACCAACAAATGGTAATTGATCTTAAACCATTAACTCTGCATTTATAAATGATAACGCCTCACCTTCAGTCACCTTCAATTATTAATAAATTATACGTGTTTGTCTGTAGATAGACAGACAAACACACACACACACATATATATATATATATATATATATATATATATATATATATATATATATAAATATATATATATATATATATTTTTTTTTTTCCTTGATACAATACACAGATTATGGTCTTACTGATAAATTTGTGGCAGGTGTAAACAACCTGCCAACCTGAAAGTTATACTCTTGATGAGTTGATGCATAAACAGTAAATGACTCTTTAACTATTAATAAGCCCATTCTTTTCAGATAATTAAGTTGGTGAAGTGCAGATACGTTTGAAAAGGTTAAACTGCATGTCAAAAATACAGAATAAATGGTGCAGTGTACATCTGCTTGAGACGGAGGCAGCTGGGTCCTCTGTTCATTCATTCCTGGAGGAGTCTGATGAATCAATGGCTGCAATCAGGACGGTAATGACGGACATATAAATAAAAGTGATTCCAGGCCGAAATTACCCGAGGGATGATCCGGGTAATGAGTGAACGGTGGACATAAACGTCGGGAGAGCTGTGTGTGTGTGTGTTTGCGTGTGTGCCCCGTGCGCGCGTTTTATTAAAGACTCCATTTGCAAGCCGACTGACAGCAGCGAGGAGCGGCCGCAGTGCACAGACGGATGCGCTAGTCGGCGCCTTAAGAATGAAATTCAATACGCGTGCGGCGCACAGTGAGCGTGCACCACAGTGCACTCACGAGGACCTAAACCTGGAAGGGACCCCCCACACCCTCTCCCCCTGCCACCTGCACGCTTAGCCCAACTAAGTGAGTGCTCAGACCTCCACTAACGCTCACACGCCTCAACACCGCGTCCGTGCGTTGTGCCGCACACAGTTGAATGTGGCGCAGAGTGGCTGAACTGGTCTTTGGGCGCACGTACCAAGGCGGCAGCGGGCGCCAACGGGACCGGCGCACGGTGTGAAGGTGTGAAGTAAATCCAGGAGAACACGCCTAACTCGGAAACACCTGCAACGTCCCCGTGACAGACACGCGCACGAGCTTCTCCTCTGCATCGCACGTAATAAAACACACAACTCTTGAAAGGACTTGTCAGCTGCTTGAAACCAGCTCTCAACCCGATGCACGCTGCTGCCACCGGCGGCTCTCCGGCGCACTGGAACCGTCCGTCTTTTCTTGGGGTCTAATTCCAATTAAAGATCAGTTCACTGCTTTGACTAGGAACGCGATGTAATTTGGCTGCCCCCCTTTTTGTTGTTATTGTTGTTCTTGTTGAATGCGTTGGCATCGTGGTCAGCGCGAGACGAAGCTCTCGTCGGGTCATTTCTCGTGATTAGACGCACACAAACACACGTGCACACAACACGAAAAGAGAGATAGTTTCCAATCCAACGACGTGGGAGGGAAGATCTGTGGAGAGGCAGCCGGAGAGGAAGAGGCAGAGGAAGAGGAGGAGAAGGAGGAGGAGGGAAAAGTAGGAGATCTACTGCAACCCCTGGAGTCCGATTCAGCACCACTCGCAGTGGACAGCGCGCGAGCCGCACGAGTTGATCGACAAATCCTCTTACTGCCTCCACAACTAACAACACTTCGCTTTCACCCCCACACGCTTTCTTTTCTCCTCTTTTTTCTTTTTTTTTCTTTGAATATTTTATCCGTGCGCTCGTTTAAAAAAAAAAAAACGGCGTTCAAGCAGCAGGCGAGCGGCGACCGGAGCCGCCGAACGGGGGGAACGCAGGGAGAAACAAACGAGAACCGGACGGCATCAGATATCGCAGAAGTTCTTTTCCTCTACTTTCGGCTCAGTTGCATCGGGAGAATTAAAAGGTAAGAGAGTCTTGCCTGCTTGTGTCACATGGGCGTCAGCGGGGTTCAGCGGCGCCTGTGTTCCGCGGCCGTGCGTGGGAGACGACATGCTGCACACATCTGAGGCATGTTTCCAGTAGTCCTCTGTGGGGGGGCTTGGTGATGGAGCACGTACTGACTTTAAAAACACACTCCCCTGGGGGAGGGCGGGTGGGAAGAGGAAAGGGGGGTGGGGGTGGGGGCTGTTTTGGGAGAACCGTGGTTCCTCTCCAAACACAGACTCAACAGATGAATCACCTTTTCTGGAGAGGATTTGGGAGCAGGAACGAGGCTGGTGTTTCTGGTGGAGGGAGCAGGATGGTGGGTGGGTGGGGGTTGAGAGACTTGGCAATACAATGAACCCTTTCATCAGCTGTATCTATGGGAGCCCCTTCTGCGCTCCACTCGGCCCGCCGTTGTTCCCCCCCCCCACACAAAGATCCGAGGAGTCTGTGGGTCTGATCGATGCACTGCTGGAGACACACATCCCTCGTTAGACTCCTGTGATCGAGGGGAGGCGGTGGGCACACAGTCCCGCTGACACCTCTGCGCTTATATCGGCTGGTTTTGCGTGACTCTGTGGAGATCCATCTTCCTATTTTATCATTCTCAAGTGAGACGTGACGCCCCGGCGGGTCGTGTGGTTTGGTGACGCCTCACTCGAGGGTGCATCACTGTCAGAGAATAATTGCTGCTCATATTTCTGAAGCTCGCGGGGCCGTTGAACACAGCGGTTGCGACGTGTCGAAGACAAACGCTTTTCCTGAGGAGTGTTTGGATTGATGTGATGGGAAGGAGCAGCTTCCTTCCGGATTTAAAGAGAAAGAAATGATCTGTTGGCACAGACATCCTCGATTGATATGAGTCATCATATTTTGAGGTTCCACTCGTCATTCAATTCTCTGAGCCTATCGACGTTTAGGCGGTTTGTTAAGCGCCACTCTAGAACCCTCCACATCTACTTCAGACGCCTCTTCCAATTAGAGGATGTGGATTCATTGAGCAGATTTTAAAACATAAAAAAAGGAACCAGTCGTAGCAAATGACACAAACCAACTATGGAATGATTTCCAACTCTTTGAAGACCGCTCAGATTCTGTTGAAAAACACTTGTTAGAAACAGCTGCGCTCACACAGAAATGTTTCACAGAGCCACTAAAAATGTAATCTGAAGCATTTCATTTCGTTTTTTGGACAACAAGCAAATGGATCATTGGTGGCCCTGAAGTGCTTTGGGGCAGCCATCAGAGGCCTTCGCTGGAAAAGATTTCCCTTTTCTTGGCCGTTTCTACATTAATTCTCGGTCTAAGAGAACAGATTCAACGAATCTTTGCGGCACAATTGTCCACCGAGTCCGTCTCCTTTGAGCAATATCACACCGTCTGGAAAGTATTCATCCAGCAGCAGTCGCAGTTGGTCTGCACTAGTGATTATCCAGCAGGTGCAAAAAAACTGCCCGGCTCAACCTTCACTTCAGGCTTTTAGGTGGCACTGTGGACATATAAATTATCTTATGAAGCCATGTACATTTTTAAAGTCTTATCATATTAGCAACAGTGGAAATCATGAGTTTATCGGCTGTACACATGCACAGGTGTTTCAGAAACCCTAAATGGCGTTAAAATTCTATTTGCTGCCGCTAATCCAAAATCCTGATAAGTTCCAGTTCATTCACTCTGGTTTTCATGCTTTGGGTCTATGGCCTTCATCAGAGCCCTGCTTCAATATGCACAGAAACCCCTCCTGCAGCACTTGGGGTGCTTGAAGAGATAGATGCCTTTTACGTTTGTCCGGTCTGAAGCTGTGCAGCAGCCGCAACAAGATCCACCAATTAAATGGCAGTGTGTGTTTGGGATATTGAGGTTAAGGTTTGGGCCATAGTTTAACTTCAGGTCTCCAATTGGAGGTGGGATTTGTATGCAGCCAGCGAGGTAGTGTGGCCCCAGAAACTCAGTTCAAGGAAAGAAACAATTACTGGAGAACATTATGTTGAGCCTCCAACAAAACGCTTGCATAATAAAACAACAAACTGGAAGAGTCGGCTGCTTCAAGGGATTACTTGAACATCTAGGATTGCACCTATGGTGTTTTGTACATTCCTGATGGCACAAGTCATTATTCAGTGTTTTCTCCTCATTAACAACTTTCTCCCAGAGAGAATCCTCCCCCCATCTCATTAGGATGCAAAGCTTGAAGAAGCTCCAATAAACACAGCGAGATGGACAGAGGCCGTTGCTTTTAACCTTTGCATCCGGAATCCAAGCGTTTCCTTGTACTATAATCGGTTCCAGACTTGAAGATGTTTCCCGTGTACCCAGAAAATCATCCAGGAGATGTTTACTGTCATTTCCTCCGTCTTTGTTAATTCATTTTCTATGCTGCTGCTCCTGTGACGTTATAGGAGCAGGGGGAGAAAAATCATTCTTCTCTGTTGGCTTCTCTTCCCTCAGCTGACATGCACGAGACAGTGCTGAAATGAACAGGCATCCAGCAGAGGAGAGACAGGCAGGCAGACAGACAGACACACAGGCAGACGGATAGACAGGCAGACAGACAGAAAGTAATGCAGACAGGCAGACAGGCAGACTGATAGACAAACAGACAGACAGACAGACAGACAGACAGACAGACAGACAGACTGATAGACAAACAGACAGGCAGACGGACAGTCAGGCCAACAGACAGAGGCCGACAGACATGCAGACAGACGGACTGACAGTCAGGCCGATAGGCCGACAGATAGGCCGACAGACATGCAGACAGACGGATTGACAGGGAGTCTTTTCCCGGTGTGATGGAGGAGCGTTACATATCGGTTCCTCCGTTGTTTCCGATCAGTGCGCGTTGATCACATTCCGGATCACCTCCTCTGCGTCCTCCGGCTGTCTGTCCCTCTGCTCCTCAGGGCTCGTATACGCGTGGTCTTGCTGTGCTGACCACAGTCTGATGATCTCCAGAACAACAGCAGATCCATTCCTCACACTCAACACAATCCTATTTTCCAAACTGCTGATTCTGCGTCTCGGGGATCCTGTAAACAGCTTTTTCCATTTCATGAGGATTAGTCATTTCTGTCTTATGTCTCTTTTTGTAAAATACTATATTGCAGAACTTTTTTGAAATAAAGTTCAGATGCTCTTGTGTAAAACTACCATGCTGTAAGAAAAATCTCTCATCACGCACTGTAACACACGTACATTTAATCAAGCACAAATATGATGTACTTTCATTTTCCTCTCATGCCACTTTATCATTCTGTTACAAATAAATACAGACCGTTTGTCAACTTTGTCAACAGTGTAGACCCACACACGTCATCTAGACTCGATCGACTGTAACGGTAGTAATAGTTCACACCATGCAGGCGGGACAAACAAACACAGGACCTTCATCCAGGAGACAGCTAAAAGTACACATTGCTTATTTTGTGCACGTAACATCGTCACATTCCGTCCCAGCTGCAATTATCTGACAGCGTTAGTTACTGTGCAGATTATGGTCCATGCAGGTTCTGTGTGCATGAACCATAATCTGCACAGTAAAGCAGGGCTGAGTGATGTCAATGAGTCTGTATGTAATGATTTGATGTGAGGATTTACTGTTTTCATCATTTTCATTAATTTCTTTAATCATTCTGTTTTCTTTTTTGTTCATGTTTGTTCTGTTGGTTGGACAAAATAAACGCTGTGAATGTGTCCCGTGGGCTCTGGTTAATTGCGATGGCTTTCTATCAATTTTGAGAAAGGTTATCAGCAGATCAATCCCGTGATGAAAATAATCATTATCAACCGCAAAATCATGCTTCTACATCAACGTAGGAGAAATAAAAATAGGATGCTATCATATAAGGCCCATTTTTCTGAGTATGTTTAACATCCAAAACACATTTTCCTAATAACTCTTTTAGTGAAGAACACTTTTAAATGCAGGATTATGACATGAGTTGTGCTTTGAGTGGTGCAGAGCTGCAACTCGCCTACAGGTTGAACATCTTCATTAGAGGCCTGTTGACACTAATCAGAGATGACATCCGCTAGCACTCTGGTTAATTTACGAGATTTACAATGCAAACAATGGAGGCGAATAATCTCTCCTTCGCAGACAGAGAGGTCCTCATAATGGAGACACATTTGACAAGGTGTCGAATTAGGGTGTCTTCTCAGCGCAGGTGATCATGGGCCATGCTGTCCTCAGCAAAACTGCCTTCGACTCACATCTTAAATAATTGTTCCCTCTTGACAGGCAGAGTACATTTAAATGAGTCAAGAGCATAATGTATCTATATCACTAATGCATCTGTTAGAGCTCAGACAGTGTGATGTTCTGGTCTGACCTCCGGAGTCATGTAAGTGAGATAAAGTACCAGTAATACGTACTTAAATAAAACACTGAATGAGCTTTTTGACCTTGACATATGGCTGGGATGTTAGCGAGTTCCTTTTTGTGTCGGATTCATTTGTGCAGACATTTTCTTAACTAAACAGGATCATTATATTTAATTACCAGTTATCTTTCAATCCCTTGGCGAGATTGCGACATCAGTCTTACCAAACAGCTATAGATTACATCTGCCTCCCTTTACATTAATGTCTTCACATTCATCTATCGCTGAGGCAGGCTCGGGTTAAAATGCCTGCTTTGTTGAAGTTAAGGGACCTCTGTTGTCATGGATACAAGATGGGAGAATTAAAAGAAACCCCTGTTGACTGGGTAGGAAATGGGAAAGAGACGGTGTTAAAGTCGTTTGTTGTCCCGTCCGTCCACCATGACCTCCTCTCTGTTTGGACTTCTTCTGTAGCTTTATATAAAACATAAAAGCTTTTACATAAAACAGAGTCATAATGACGACTGCCAGTGACTAATATCTTTTACATTTAAAGGCTTGTGATGCTTCAGCTCCCACCCAAGAATCGTCACACGCACATACGACGACTGTAGTTTAATACTTTTCATTCCGTTGCCATAACGCAGCTCAGTGGAGC